CACACCATACACACACGCACACTCACACCATACACACACACACACACACACCATTCACACTCACACGTGCACATGCACACACACATACACACTCTCTCTCACACACACACACACTGCTGACCAGCAAGAGTTTTTAAAACAGGAAACATTGTTTTATCACGCACTGGTCAAATTTGAGATTTTGGGCTTTTTGGCATGACATTTCTGGTGAATAGGGTAAACAAAATAACTAATAGATATCAGCATACTTTCCCAGTTGATTGATTACATTAATTGCAGACATGCAATATTTATTTGCATAAATATGCAAAAGAAGCATTATGTAATTAAATATGCACTTGTATAGAACAAGAATCATTGGGCAAAGTTGGGTTCAAAATTCTTGCTTCATTTTGTTGGCAAATGAAATATTTTTACAGAGCGGATTTCTTTTTTTATCACTCTATAAATCTGAAAATACTGTCAACAGACAGAAAAACAAATATTTTTCACAATTTGTAGGAATAAAATGTTGTATAAAATCAGGCAAATGATATATGATGAACAAAGCCCTTTATAAAACCCTTCAGAATACAGATAGGAATAAAACTGTATGCAAGTGCTGCCGAAGTGGAGAACAAACTCACAGCCTGTAAAGATGCGTGTTGAAATCTACAGACGCAGATAGATGAAGTGCAATGAAATGAACACTTTAAACACTTTGGATGTTACAAAAAAAAAAAAAGCCCAAAATCTCAGAATTGACCAATGCATGAAAAAAAAAATGTTTGTGACTGTAGTGTCTCGCTTTAGAGCTGTTTTGTTAGAGTTTCAAATTCAAAGTGATTTGCCATTGCATGCCTTTAATCCAGAGATGAGATGAATAAATGCATGACGGTATTAACTGTGCTGTTCAGACGTCGCCTTGCAGCGAGACGTGGAGGGAGATCTTCTGCTGGGAGACATGGGCGAGGGCTTGCCCTTCAGACCGGGGATGTTCGACGGCTGTATAAGGTACGAGCTCCAGAGTTCGTGTCAGTTTGATGGGAGTGTGCATGTTCAATGTGTGCTGTTCTGTCAGTATTTCAGCGCTGCAGTGGTTGTGTAACGCAGATAAGAAAACACACAGCCCTCCGAAGAGACTGTACCGCTTCTTCAGCACGCTGTACTCGTCACTGGTGAGTTCATCTGAGATGTGCATGCATGTGTTTATCAGACAGTGCTCATTATTCTCAAACGTGTGTTGTGTTGTTGTTGTAGGCCAGAGGAGCACGTGCTGTGTTCCAGATATACCCTGAAAACTCCGAGCAGGTCGGTGTCCAAACTCCGCTCTCTGGTTATCGTGCTCTCAGCATGCTGGATTTAGAGTGGATAAGTACAGATACAGACTGTCTGCCCCTCTTAGTTTAGTTTATATTATATATCTATTGTCTATAGATTATGTGAATCAGCTTCAGGGAAAAGGGCCTTTACAGCTGCCAAAAATATCACTTTTGGGTTTTTTGTTATTAAAAATAAATCATTAAGCTCAGCCCAGGTGACAAAAAGTAACATAATGCAAGTAACACAATTAGTTACTTTTCCATGGAGTAATGCATTACTTTTAAAAGTATCTCTCCCCAACACTGGTCTACAGTTTCTCTTTGGAAGACTGTGCGATAGGGCTTTATTTAACCTGGCCAACTGGTGGCATTATGCTGCATTATTATTATATTTAGCCAGTCATGACTGTGGACACCATACATATGCTGAGAAGAATATTAACCCTGGTGAACAAGATAAGCCATGATTCAGTTTTAACCGTGGAGTGAGCGTTATGTTATTCTACACTCTCCACAATATCATATGCATCAAGATGCAATTCAGGTTCATTTCGAACTGTAACGTTATTTCACGTTTTCTTCATTAAAGTTGCTTTGGATCGTTGCATCTGCGGAAAGAATAAATGTAAATGTGCTGAACACTGTATAACAATCTTGATAGTGGTGTAGGTTTTATGTGAACCGTTGTTTTGGTCTATTTTTATTATTCTACTTTAAAGGCCAGAGTAATGTTTTATCGCTACATTTATTATTAGATGAATTGACACAGTTTCTACACTAGCATTCAGAAGTTTGGGATTGGTGCGATTTTGAAAGAAGCCTCTTCTTTCAGTGTCACTTCTTCCAGAAATCATTCTAATATGCTGAAATATAAAATAGCAACAGCTCTGATTATTATCAATGTTGAAAACAGTTGCGCTGCTTCATGTTTTTGTGGAAACTGTGACGCATCTTTTCAGGATTCCTTCCTTTTGTCTTTTCTGAAAAACCTAATGGAAATTGCGAGATTTCATTTCTTTTTGAAGATCTTGTGAATGACTTCTAGTTCGTGGACTTTTGCTGTTCGTCTCTGAAGTCAAAGATGTTGCCATGTTTGGTCTGTTGTACTGCTACAACAATAAAACTATTTTTTTGGTTTGTTGAATCAGATAGTTATCATTCTTTTTTTCATACTCTTTTCCTTGTATATATAAAACAATTTGCATACGTTGTTGTATTCCTGGTGTTTCGTGAGAGCTGTGATTTAGTCTTCAAAGTGATCTGGTTTTTAAGTGAGGTTTTGTGGTTTCTCTGTCAGCTGGAGCTGATCACGGCTCAGGCCATGAAAGCCGGCTTCACAGGCGGGATGGTCGTCGACTTTCCCAACAGCAGCAAAGCTAAAAAGTAACTATTCAGCTCGATATTTTCATGATCGTTGATCAGCAAACATATCTTTAATTGTAATGTGCTTCAGGATCATAATGAGTGACACTTCCATCTTTTTCACCGTAGATTTTTCCTGTGTTTGTTTGCTGGTGTATCAGGTGTCTTACCCAAGGTGTGTACAGCCTCAGGATGGACACACACACACTCACTCACTCACTCACTCACTCTCTCATACACACGCACACACACACACACAAACACACACTCACTCACTCACTCACACACACTCTCACACACACACACACATGCACGCACACAAACAAACAAACACGCGCACACCAACACATGCACACACACTCACTCACTCACTCTCTCACACACTCACTCACTCACTCACTCATACACACACACGCACACACACAAACACACACATGCACGCACACAAACATACCCACACTCACTCACACACGCACACAAACAAACACATGCACACAAACACACACATTCACGCACACAAACACTCACGCACATGCAAACAAGCACACACACACACACACACACTCTCACTCACTCACACACACTCTCACTCACTCACTCACTCACACACACACACACACTCTCTCTCACATACATACACACACTCACTCATGCACACACACTCACTCACACACACGTGCACACACTCTCTCTCTCACACACACTCTCACTCACTCACTCACTCACACACACACACACACTCTCTCTCACATACATACACACACTCACTCATGCACACACACTCACTCACACACACGTGCACACACTCTCTCTCTCACACACACTCTCACTCACTCACTCACTCACACACACACACACACTCTCTCTCACATACATACACACACTCACTCATGCACACACACTCACTCACACACACGTGCACACACTCTCTCTCTCACACACACTCTCACTCACTCACACACACACACACCCACACT